CAATGAAGAAGTTGGAACTTTATCCTTAGGAAATCTATAGAGGAAGTTCATCATGTAATGCAAGTCTAGTTTCAATCTATAGAATAGTATGCTTGTAAAAATAAATTGCTTACTGATGAAATGTCCTGGGAAGTTTTCTTTTGAATTTTGATGCATCATCACTTGACCCTTCCCAATTACTTCTTATACTTTATGAAAACTTAGGACCGACTTTTTTACGTTTGGAATATTCGAAAGCACAACACTGAGGACCTCTAACTTTTCCCATTGCTGTGAAATTTGCTGAGTTTAACTCAACTTAATTACAATTGGTGCCAAAACGGTAAAAACTCTTTGACACAAGTCTCAAAAATGTTTTTTAAATTGCACATTTTTTAAAATTATATTTCGCCCCTTGTGAGGGAATGCGGAATCCAACTTTTTTTTGGTTTAGGAATCTGGAATCCGGAGTCTTGGAATCCGGAATCCAGACCTTGGAATCCGGAATCCAAATAACTGAGGAATCCGGAATCCAGGGTCCGTTCTGGAATCCATTGTTTTATTAATTTAGAAGAAAAGAACATATTTTTTTGTAAACATATTTGTTCGTATTTCACTGGATCTAATTCATTTTACCATGAGAAAATTATGAAGAGCGAACCGCCCAACATGGCCTCCCATGCAACAAAGCAAAGTGTTGCGATTAAGGGAAGTGGGGGAGAAAGACAATGCAAAAGATGCGAGGAAGTAATGCGAGAATGTGTAAGCGAATACGGCAGGGGTGTGAGACAAGAAAACGTTCTTTCAAAGAAGAAAAAGATTACAGGAACCCTTCCATATTCCTTGAGCATGAGACCAGCCGCCGTTACCGCCTCGGAAGAAGTGGAGGACATCGTGTAAGAATGCCAGACTGTAAATGCGCCCAACGGTAATCGAGGCAATTCATGCAGCACGGCTTAGGGTTCTGTACCGCAGGGATGACGTCGTCGCCATCAGCCACAATTTAAGGAGGGAACGTCCCCGTATTGGTTAGCTATTCTTCTGGAGGACGTTTGCGTCGAAGCTGACAGTGGAAGGTTCTTGAGAAACAGTATGAGTATTCGATGGCTTAAAACAGAGGATCGACACTGTTATGTCAAAGGTATCTGTGACAAGAACTCCCCGAAGTGTATCATGGCCGACTCCCGCAGGATTTTGTTTCAACGCGAACAGTTTCTAGTCCCTCTGGAGGAGAACATTCAACTATCACGCATTTCTAACGGATATATATATGAGGAAACTGGAGACGAGGAGCAATAGCATGTGGAAGACGAGATGGAAGAAGAGATGGAAGGAGAGATGGAAGAAGAGATGGAAGAAGAGATGGAAGAAGAGATGGAAGAAGAGATGGAAGAAGAGATGGAAGAAGAGATGGAAGAAGAGATGGAAGAAGAGATGGAAGAAGAGATAGACGAAGAGATGGAAGAAGTGTTAAACTTGCTGCACTTCCTCCACGATTTCCAGGCGTCAATCTGTCTGGAAGAACAACCCGTTTCCTTCTCAGCTACAATGACACACGTTTCTACAATTATTATTCATTTGAGGTGTAGTGTATCGCGGTAAATATCGGATAAACACAAGAGTATAGCCGCCGGGTTTGGTGTGTTGTATAACTTGTATATTATAAGAATGAATACATTATAAAATTACAAAGCGGAAGTTAGTAAACATTAGTGTACAGTATAATATTAACTTATATTAGTTGGGCTGGATACTACATCTCTCCCCACTTTACTATAAAGTCCTCTTAGTATTTGTCTATTTCGATAGACTGTTCTTTATGTAATACGAGTTCGAATACTCTAAACAAAACTTTTAAATTTCAACATAGCAAGTGTGTCTTTTTTTATGACACTTAGATTAACGTGTCCGTTTATGACGTTTATTAATATCTCAGTCTGTTGGGAGGTTGTCTGTTCCGTTGAAATCTTCTGTGAGGTGGTGGTGCAACTTGTTCCTTCAAGTTGTGTTGGGAATGTGGGATTGGATAATCGGATTCATCGACTGTCGCATCTTTCGGGATGAAGGTAGCTTTAATTTTTTTGAAAAACGAAACGTTGCGGGTAAGTTTATGAGAACCACGTTCAGCAGTGACCATACTTCCTTTTCTCGCTACGACCTTGTAAGGACGTGGATTAAAAGGAGTGGACAACTTGTTTGCTTTCGGTTGTTGGATTAGGACTGTATCTCCTACTTTTATTTCGCTGGTTTCAGAACGTCGTCGTTTGTCAGCGTATTCCTTCATCTTTCTTTTCTTCTCACTGTCCGTTTCGTGGATGGAATTTAATTATCTGCTTCAGGATTGGGAACTTCGGTGAGCTGGGGAAGAAGCGTGTGCATTTTTCGACTGTTTAGAGCTTCAGATGGGGATGTGTTGGTGGTGCTGTGTGGTGTTGCACGGTACTGGCGTAGAAATACGTTCATCTCTTGTTTCCAATTCTTTTTCTCTAAATGGGCTGTACGGATTGCTTTTTCGAGTGTTCGCATAAATGGTTCGACTTCACCATTAGCTAGGGGCCAATAGGGCGTAACCTTTCTGTGTTGAAAACAAAGGAAACTGGCGAAGTTTGCGAATTCTGCGCTATTGAACGGTGGGCCGTTGTCTGATTTTACGACTTTGGGATCCCTTGTCTAGAGAAAATACCATAGAGTTTGGGTATGACGGCGTTTGCGGTTGTGGAATGTAGTGTTTCGCCCAATGGAAAGGGACCAACAAAGTCAATAGCAATTTCGTTCCATGGTGCTTTTGGTAGTGGGGTCATTTTCAATGGTTCTGGTTTTGGCATGGTACCTTGTGTTGCAGCTTGGCACGGAATACAGTTTTTTATTCTCTCTTGAACCATTCTGTCGATCGAAGGAAACCAAACTTTCTCGCGTAGTAGTCGCTTGGTCTTTACTATTCCCTGATGACATGCGCGAGCCAACTCAATAGCTTGTTGCTGGAGTGATTGTGGAAGAACCAAACGTGTTCCTCGTATGAGTATACTGTTACAGTATCATCAAGAGTTACTGCCAAGATAAATTTTATAATCTTGGAAAGAATACCACTGAGAATTCATCGGGGTAAAAAATTAGAAAGAAATTAAACAAACTTGTACTTTTAACCACCAGTGATTTATACAAGGAATGTATCAGAGGAAAATTATTAATTATTACTAAAAATGTAGAGTGAAAACCTCCCAAGATGAAAGGGCAGACTCTGTCTCAAACATTTTGCTAAATCTTTACTATGAAACTGCCCAAACTGAAAGTGCAGACACTGTCTCAAACATTTTACTAAAGATTTACTATGAAACTGCCCAAGCTGAAAGTGCATTTGAATTTGAATTTTATTAATAAAATATAGACTTTGCAACCATGAAGGTTGAAATACATCTATCATTTACAGGGTTAGTTGATTAGAAAAATATTGTATATTTACAAAAACATATTTACTATAATATAGGAAGAGTTTAGAACTTCTAGTATGATATTACCATAATATTTACAAA